GCTCAATATATTGAACGCATGAGTTAATTACTTAGTTAATAGAAATTTGGAATTGGAACTTGGGGGCCTGTGCTTGGGATGATCTGAAAGCGAGGTTTGGGTACCCATGTTGGACAGTTCAATACTGATGGTTGTTGGCAGTCTCCAGCATTGAGATCCACAGTTTATCTGCCCAAGATTGGTGAGCTTTTTCATATTTCTCTCTAGCCTGCTGTCCTTTTTTAAAATTAAAACTCATTTCTCTTCTAGCCCTACCATCATGAGGTATCGAAAACAGCAAAATATAAGATTACTGAATCACTCATTAAAACTTCTCTTAGACAGTTTCGTGTATTCATTGATCAAATGGTTTTGAACACCTTGTATGTGCTGAAAACACAGCAGTGAACACAACAAAAAATGGGCAAAACTAGATCATAGAGCTCACACTTTAGTGTGGAGAGATAGTAAGAAAATCAAAATATAGAATATGTTATATTAGTTGGTGATAGGTTCTACAGGGGGAAAGGTAGCAGAGAAAAGGAGGTGTTTTATTTTGGGGGGTGGGGTGATGTACTTAGAGTGATCCAGGAAGGCATCACTGAGTCGGTGATATTGGAGTAAACACCTGAAGGAGGTGGGAGGGGGAGGCATGCAGCTATCTGGGAGAAAACAACCCAGGCAGAGGGCACAGCAAGGGAAAGGCAAGGGTGTGCTTGGGGTTTGGTTCATAGGAAGGAGGCCAGCAAGGCTGGGCCAGAGAGATGGAGCTGGAGAATGGTAGGAGACAGGGCAGTGGGGGGCTGAATCACATGGGGCCCTAGAGGCCATTGTAAGGACTTTGGCTTTTACTCTCTGATTGGAAGCCATTGGCATATTTTAGGTTGTGAAGTGACATGATCTAACCTTAGTTTTTGACAAGATCCCTCTGGCTGCTGTTTTGAGAATAGCCTGAAGGGGAAGCATGAACCAAGTGGGCCAAACCAGCGAGGAGACTGCTACAGTAATGCAAGATGGTGGTTGGTGATGTGGACCAGATTGTCAGCAGTGGAGGTGAGGGGTGGTGAGGAATGGTGCCAGTGGGTAACAGGGACTAAGACTGCGCTGTCTTGCTCTTCAAGCTCATCGAATGACCAGTCCGTTCAAGCCCTTGACATGGGTATTCTCTTGTCTTCTGCTCATTTCAGGGGAGTTCAACTAGGCTGTCTTTGTACTCTCCACTCCTCTCATGAGTGGTCAGGGCCCATGTGGGGAGATCCTGGGTGACAACCTTGCATCCCTTCCTCAAGGCTGAGGTCCCATCCAAGAGGACGGTACTGATCATGGTGAGTAACAAATACCCAACTCCCCTTTGGGAGGCTGGGAAGGGGTAATACCCCAGGACAGAGTGAGGGGCTAGAGCTTCAGCGTGCAGACAGAGGTCAGCAGTTTTGGATGAGGTATCTGGATTCCAGAGACCTTGGAAGCCTGGGGCTATAGCAACTGTCTTTGACAAGACAAATCTTAACAGGGACAATTTGAGATTCCTACTTATAGGCCTTCAAATTTCCAACTGTATACTAGTAAGTCTAGCAAGGAAAAGACACAGTCTCATAGTAGATAGTAACAATAACATAATCATCAATAAGAACAATGATTTCCCAGGTATTAGAGCAAGGGGAAAATGTGGAGTTGCTGTTTGACGGTATAAAGTTTCGGCTATTCAAGATGAATAAGATCTACATAAGATCTGTTCAACGTTGAGCATATAGTTAACAATACTGTTTTGTGCACTTGAAAATTTGTTAAGAGAGTAGATATCATGTTTTTGCCACTGTAAAAAGCCATTCTTGAAAAATTGGGGGAGATTGAATATATGCATTAGATGACATTAAGAAATTACTATAGTTTTAAGGGCACTGTGGAAAAAAGACTTTATTTGTTACAGATAAAAATAGATTAAGAAAATGTGATTAAATGTTAATAATTGTTAAATCCCGGTGATGGGTATATGGAAGTTCAATATACTGTGCCCTCCAATTTTCTGTATGTTTTATTTTTAAATTAAATATTTATTTGTTGTTATTTTATTTCATTTTTCCATCACCATTTACCCCCTCTATTTTAGATTTGTCTTAATAAAAGTCTAAAAATTTTAAAAAAATATAATGATTTCTTTTTATTGAGCATCTGTCATGAACTAGGTGCTTTAATGACATTATCTTTTTTGTTTGCTTTCTTTTTGTAATGATTTTGAAAACCTTTTTATTTTGAAATAGTTATAGGTTTACAGGAAGTTGCATAAATAGTACCCTTGTGTACTCTTCACCTAGCTTCCACTAAAGGTTAAATCTTACATAACTATATGCAATATCAAAGCCAGGAAACTGACATTGGCACAATGGTGTGCATAGTTCTATGACACCTTACCATATCTGTAGATTTGTGTAACCGCCTCCACAAATGGGACACAGAACCTGTCTATCACCACAAAGATCCCCTTTGTCCTTTATAGGCACACCTCCCGCCTCCCCCCAAACCAACGCTAACCCCGGGCAACCATCAATCTCTTCTCCGTTTCTATAATTTTGTTGTTTTGAGAATGTTATTTAAAGGGAATCATACAGCCCGGTTGGCGTGCTCAGTGGTCTACCTATGAACCAGGACATCACTGGTTCAATTCCAAATTGCAAGCTCGATCCCCAGTGTGGGGTATGAGGAGGCAGCCAATCAATGATTCTCTCTCATCACTGATGTCTCTCTCTCTCTCTCTCTCTCTTCCTCCCCCTCTCCCTCCCTCCCCTTCTCCCTTCCTCTCTGAAATTAATAAAAATATATTAAAAAATAAAGGGAATCATACAGTATTTAACCGTTCATCCCACCCTAATAAAAACCCCATCTAGAAAATAGATCTCTTATAAGAACCCATCTCCTTTTCCCATACAATTTCTTAATATTCCATAATATGTTGACTATATTTCCAAAAGCAAAAACTAGGGCAACATATGTCTACTAAAACATATGGACAATAATATTCATGGAGGCATTAGTCATAATAGCCCCAAACTGGAAACCACCTCAAAGTCCATCAATGAATGGATGGATAAATGAATTGTGGCTTATTCATACAATCAAATGCTAGACAGTAATAAAAAGAATGAATAACATACACACAACAATATGGATGTAATCTTATAGACACTACATTGAGCTAAAAACAGAAATAATGCATAATTCCATTTACATTTAGTTCAATAATAGGCAAAACTGATAGTGATAGAAATCAGAATAGTGATTAACTGCAGGAGAGGAGGTATTGACTGGGAAGGAACATGAGATAATTTTTTAGGTTGCTGGAAATATTATGTATCTTGATCGGAGTGGTAGTTATAGGAGAATGTATATTTTAAAATTAAGTTTAAGATTCGTGTATTTTACACACTTTACTGTACCAATGTTATACCTCAACTTTAAAACATCAGAGCACCCTAGCTGGTTTTGCTCAGTGGATAGGGCATCGACCTGTGGACTGAAGGGTCCCAGGTTTGATTCAGGTCAAGGGCACATGCCAGGAGTTGCAGGCTTGATCCCCAGTAGGGGGCGTGCAGGAGGCAGCCCATCCATGATTCTTTCTCATCATTGATGTTTCTCTCTCTCTCCCTCTCACTTCCTCTCTGAAATCAATAAAAAAATATTTTAAAATGTCAGGGCACAGGGTTTGATAAAGATGTGTCCTTAGAGCAGTAGTAAGGCATAGTGTTGAAAATCTGGACTTTCTTGGACAATTAAGGAAGCATTTGGTGACCAACCATACAAAGTGTTCAGCCCCCCTTCTCCAATGGGAAGTGTACCCTTGCATTATTAACTCGTATCTCCTAAATTTCATTTACTGGGAAATCCCTTGAAAAATCAAGGAATTGAGGTGTTTGGGGTTTTGCTGTTGTTGTTGGGGGTGTGGGGGAGCAGTGGAAACAATTAAGTCTTGAAAGATAGAGTTCACTCTCCTTCTCCCATGACTAAACACACTAGGTTAATTCTAGTGGCAGTCAAAATAGCTCCTATTCACCTCTTTATGGCCCAGTGAGTCTAACAGAAGTTGAATAAAACACAAGTATACTAGTATATGTCTTGTCTTTCTGCAAGCAAGAACTGTCTCCCTTATCTGTGTGTAATCCCAGAGAAAGGTTAGTGACCTGTAGGCATGTAGCTGTATTCACACAAAGTTTCTTGAAGCACTCGTTCCCAAACTTGGTTGCACAAAGGAATTTATGTACAATTTATGAAACTTCCTGCAAATCCATAATTATTTCAAAGTCAACTTTTAAAAAAATCATTACAAAAAGAAAAATAAACAAAACAATGTAATTAAAGCACTTAGTCCATGGCAGATGCTCAGTAAAAAGAAATCATTGGTGTTTTTTTGTTTTTTAAGTTTTAGACTTTATTATGGCCAATTTAAAACATACAGTGGAGAGCACAGTATATTGAACTTCCAAATACCTATCACCAGGATTTAACAATTACTCACATCAAGCCATATTTTCCTCATCTACTTTTATCTACGTCTTTTTTCTACAGTGCCATTTTACACCCTCAAAATGATAGTAATTTCTTCTCGTCATCTAATGCACATCTCTAACTCACCTGGGAATTTAAAAATTTACTGATAGTATCTGGGCTCTACTCCCAGGGTCTAATTGGTAGAGAGGCGCCTTGGGCATCAGGATTTTTTTAAAGCGTCCCAGGTGACCTTAACGTGCAGCACCAACTGAGAACCGCTGTTTGGGGGGTCCTCCCCCCCACGCGCCTGATTTGTGCTCAGGTGTCGGCTCTCGGAGGACTGGAGACGAGGTTCCCTGAGCGCCGTAGTCCCGCCCCTTCCTAGAGAACCAATAAACTCAAGCCTCTCCCTTGACAACGCCAGGGACTTGACCTCCAGGCTGCCGGCGCTCTGCACTCCGCCCAAGCCTCTATGGTATTTGGGTGTCCTCTCTAGCACTTGCAAGCCGCCTTCGCCTTCAGCCGGAGCCGGTTTCCTAGCGCCGCCTCGTTGGTACTTCATTCCGAGAGCGAGTCCGGATCCGAAAGGGGGCGGGACTTCCGCCCGGAAGTGGCCCACGTGTTTCCACCTTTGCCCACCTGGGTTCTTGGTAAGTTTCTAGTGTTTGCCCGAAGTTGGGGACACCGGAGGCTTTGTGACCGGCTCCAGGCTGTGTTGAGTGACGTCTGACCTAAGGGTGACACTGGTGATGTCGCCGCCACTTCAGAGGTGCAGCCCCTGCGCCGGGGCCCGGGCACGTTTTTCCGCGTAGGATCCAATTCCTAGGGCCGCGGAGTGTCAGGCCTGCGGTTTAGATAGTTCCTTTCCGGTCTCTCGGTCTCCTTGGGGAGAGGTGACCTAGAAGCCCTGAGCGTCAGGCACGGGGACTCGATGTCCAGCCCCGCTAGTGACGTGCTGTGTGACCTTGGGCTAGGCAGTGTTCCCCTCCCGGGCCTCAGTTTCCACATCTGTGAAATGGGATGGTTGAACTCAGGTCAGTGGCCCCTGCCGGTCTGATGCCCTATGATGACTCTGCACCTTTAACTCCTGGGATGGGAAAGTGAACGGGAGAGGTGCGTGCTGACGGTGATGTCTTTTCCCAGGACTAGAAGGTAGGAAGGAGATCACCGTGCAGGGCTGAGATGGATCCGCTCAGGGCCCAGCAGCTGGCGGCGGAGCTGGAGGTAGAAATGATGGCTGATATGTACAACAGGTAAGAGCCGACTCTGTCTTAGGGAAGGATCCTAGGTTGCTCTTGCTGAGTGTAGAGGTGGATGACTTATGAAAAATGCTTTGCTCAATTTAGGGGGGCACCCACCTCCACCCCCCATGGTTAAAGGCCAATGCAGACTCAGTATAGTATAGGGTCACTAGAAGGAGTTGGGCATTTAGACTGGGATGGATTGGCGATGAAGGAGCTGAGCAGGAGAGAAGGTCCAGTTCAGTCTCTGGTTAGGTTCCAAGAACAGTTGAAAGTATTTGCCTTTTGAAAAATAGAACATATCCCACTTACTTAACATTGCTTAAACTCTTACTCTACCTCAGGCAGTTGCTAAACATTTTACATGCATTATCTTTTTTAATCTTCAAAATAATCCACTGGGTGGCCCTGGCCAGGTAGCTCAGTTGGTTAAGTGGGCCGTCCTGATACTCGAAGGTTGCAGGTGGGTTTGATATCCGGTCAGGGCACATGCAAGAATCAACCAATGAATGCATAAATAGGTGGAATAATAAATTGATGTTTCTCTATATACATGTCTCCCTTCCTCTCTAAAATCAATAAATAAAGAAACAAAAAATAATCCACTGGGTTAATTTTACTGTGAGAACAAGGAAGCTTCTAGAGCAGCCGTGGGCAAACTACGGCCCGCGTTTTACTGTGAGAACAGGGAAGCTTCTAGAGTTTAAATAACTTTCTCAGGGTCCACAGCTGGTCAGTAGCAATGTTAGGTCCAGTACTTTGGCAAATTTGGGAACAATTCATAGCTCTATTAATTACCACTAGTATGGGCTTGGACAGATTACTTGGACTACTTGACCAGTGGTTTCCCCGTCTATCAAATGGAGGCAATACTACTACCTACCTCATAGAGACATTATAAATATTAAATGTTGCCCTGGCTAGTGTGGCTCAGTTGCTTGGGCATCATCCCGTGCACTGAAAAGTTGCCAATTCGATTCCTGGTCAGGGTACGTGCCCAGCTTGTGGGCTCCATCCGCAGCAGGGGACTTTCAGGAGTCAGGCAGCTGACTGATGTTTCGCTCTCCCTTCCCCTCCAAAAATTAATAAAAACAAATCTTTAAAAACTGTATTAAATGTTAAAATGTATGACAAACTCTTAGCATCAAACCAATACATAGTAAGCAGTCAACATATGTCTGCTATTTTTATTAGCTTGAGCTCTCTGGTATCCTCTGCTTATTGGTTGGTTTGTGTTGGAGGATATATGTTAGAACAATTTTTAAATGTAGGCTGTGAAGTCAGACTACCTGGGTTAATATCTCAGCTGTATGTGGTCCTGAGGTTCTCCGTACCTTATTTTCTTCATCTGTAAAATGGGGATATTTATCCTGTGTAACTATAGAGTTACCATAAAAGTCATGTCAAGCACTTAGCATGATGCCTGGAACATAGCCAGTACTCAACTAATGGTTTCTATTTAATTAGTTATAAACGTGGGCTCAGGTAAGGTTCCTATTCTCAAGGACCTTCCAAAATAGTTGAGGTGTAAACTGAGGATTTATACTGCCTGCCTCAGAGGTGAATCAGTTAAGCACGTCAGGAATGGTTGAGAGTTCCCTGTATGCCACAAGGTGCTGCTGACCTGACCTTGCCCTCCCTTCCCCCCAGAATGACAAGTGCCTGCCACCGAAAGTGCGTGCCTCCCCACTACAAGGAAGCAGAACTGTCCAAGGGCGAGTCTGTATGCCTGGACCGGTGTGTCTCCAAGTACCTGGACATCCATGAGCGGATGGGCAAAAAGCTGACAGAGTTGTCTATGCAGGATGAAGAGCTGATGAAGAGGATGCAGCAGAGCTCTGGGCCTGCATGAGGCCCCACAGGATCCACCCCGAGGTGCACCCTGTCCCTTCCCACTTGTCTAATTAAAGTGCCCCTGTGGGGTGTCATCTGTGAAGACTGTCAGGCCTAGGCTGTCTCTAGAGAGTCTCCGGGAGCCTGAAGCCTGGCTCTCTCCCAGTTGAAGAATGGGTATTTGTCACACTGGAATGTGACTGTGCGTGTGTGTGTGTATGTGTGTGTGTGTATTAAAAGATTTTGTTGACACTACCTACTGTGTGCAAATAAATGCTCTTAGCATCAAGATGCCTGGCACATCAGAGTAAAGGCAGCAGACCGACACAACCTCTACCAGCAGAGGGAGTCTCACAGTGTTTACAAGTATAGGCTGGTCTAATGACAGGTTTGCACTCCAGGTGAGCCACTTGATGTGTGACCCTGAACATGTCATTTCACTGCATTAGCTTCCTCATTGTAAAATGGGGATAATCATAGGGCTGTTGTAAAGATAAAATGAGTTAATATGTGTGAAGTATTTAGAATAATGACTGGGGCATTGGAAGTAATAAATTTTAGCCATATATATGGCTATGTATATATATTGTATATTTAAATATACACATTTAGATAACATGCTATATACTGTTAAATGTGTATAAATATATTTAATGTTTATATTATAGATGATATAACTTGTAAAGGATACATTTATATTTATATTAAATATATATAAAGTAATGAGTAATTAATTATAAAATAAGTAATTATTGATAGTATAAATATATTTTAATAACAAAATTAAGTGGAGGCAGGCATTTTCACAAATTATCTAGAAAAATACTTAGAGGAGCCAGTGAAAAATAGTTGTGTTTAAGAAGGAAGCAGTCAGTCTTTTGGTTCTACACAGCGATATCGAGCATGTGAGGGAACCCAACTTGGTGTGTGATGGGAGTGATCCAGGCAGGGGACTGAGTGATCACTGCCCTTCAGCGTCCACCTGAATCAGGGACTGCGCTCCTCACTCTTCAGATACTATCCACCCAGTCTGATCCGCCCAGCTGGGCCCAAGAGTCCTCTGAGGAGCTGGAGGCGCAGAGGAGCGGTGCTTGCTGGAGTCTCGAGTAGAGCAGTAACATGGAGGCCGGGGCTGGCTGCTGCGTCTGCTGTCTCACAGGAGAGGCTGCCACCACATCTAATTCCTTCCCGAGGGGTGCCCTTGGAGAGTTGTGCAGCTTTCAGAATGTGTGGGACACTCACTCTACGTGAGTTTTCGGTTGGCACCAGTGCCACTGTGATAGTACCTTCACAGTGGGCCTTCCCTGTAGATCAGTGATTCCCAAAGTGGGCGCTACCGCCCCCCGGTGGGCGCTGCAGCGATCCAGGGGGGCGGTGATGGCCACAGGTGCATTTGGGGGCGATGAGTAACTGCTATTAAAATTTAAAAAAAATTAATTTCCAGGGGCTGAGTAATATTTTTTCTGGAAAGGGGGCGGTAGGCCAAATAAGTTTGGGAACCACTGCTGTAGATGGAAGTGTCTGGGAGGTCACTGGGCATGAGTGAAGGAAACAATAGAAGCAGTGAGTTTCAGGCTTAAAGGTGCAGGTTCAAGACAGACAGCCTGAGGTGACATTTCCTAGCAGCGGGATGTGGGCGAGGCATTTAACTGCCCGTGCCTGTTTCCTCATCCACAAAATGGCAATGAAAGTATAACTCATTGAGTGGTTGTAAAAATTGTGTTAGTAACTAAAGCATTTAGCCTCAATGTTAGCTCTTTTTTTTTTTTTTAATTGCTAAGTTTTGTGTGAGGGGACACTGGATAGACCCCTGGAAAACTTCAAAACCATTGTTCATCTGTGCTAGTGGTGGGCAGAGAGCTAAGGCTCCTTTCTAAGTGCTGAAGTGCAAGATTGGGTCAACAGGTGGCGCTGTCAGCTCACGGGATGGGCACTGCTGTGAACAATTCTACAATTATGCATTATTTGCCTATTCTATGCAGGCGTTGTGCTAGGAAGAGTGGAGAGTGAAGAAAATTGATATTGCACCTGCCTTCAGGTTTACTAAGGAATGCCACAAATTCTCTGAGCGCATAGCTGGGACATCTAGAAGAGCACTTGCTTTGAAGCGATAGTAGTTGTGGGGAGAACACTTGCTTTGAAGTGGCAGAAAGTATGGAGGTTTCAGGAAGCAAAGCTTGGGTGTGCCTGGAGTGCCGAGTGTGCAGGGAGCTGTGGTGAGAGATGAGACCTGAAGGCTGGGCAGACGCAGGTCCAGAAGAGCCTGGTGAGCTGTTAGAGTTTGGATTTTCTCCTATTAAGGGGATCAGCAAACTGTTGAAGGAAACTAACTCTGCCTGGGAACATGACAGATCTCTCATCTTAGAGGCTCCCTCTAGCCGCCAGGGTGGATAGTGGTAGATGATGGTTTAATGGATTAAGGCAGTGGTTCTCAACCTTCTGGCCCTTTAAATACAGTTCCTCATGTTGTGACCCAACCATAAAATTATTTTCGTTGCTACTTCATAACTGTAATGTTGCTACTGTTATGAATCGTAATGTAAATGTCTGATATGCAGGATGGTCTTAGGCGACCCCTGTTAAAGGGTCGTTTGACCGCCAAAGGGATCGTGACCCACAGGTTGAGAACCGCTGGATTAAGGGGAGTGGGGCCAGGGAGCCAGGGAGGAAAGAAGGGGGGGCGGTGGGAGTAAGAACAGCTATTGAGTTGCTATAGTGTGCTAATAAGTATGTTTATTACAGTTAATCCTTATAAATAACTGTGAAGCGGGTACCACTATTCTCATTTTATAGATGAAGAAGCCAGGGCTCTGGAAAGTTAATAACTTGCTGAAAGTCACACAGCAAGCGAGTAGCAGAGCCAGGATTTCAATTTATTCAGACAGCAGCACCTACTTCTTTTTTTTTTTTTTTAATATTTTTTATTGTTTTTTTACAGAGAAAAAGGGAGAGGGACAGAGAGTCAGAACATCGATGAGAGAGAAACATTGATTAGCTGCCTCCTGCACACCTGCCCCACTGGGGATGTACCTGCAACCAAGGTACATGCCCTTGACCGGAATTGAACCTGGGACCCTTCAGTCCGCAGGCTGACGCTCCATCCACTGAACCAAACCGGTTAGGGCGAGCAGCACCTACTTCTAACCAGTCCTCTGGGATTGGGGGTGCTTCCCAATGAGACAGCAATTTCACATTTCATTCAACAATATTTATTGTTGGCCCATAACATACAAAGAAGTACATGAAGTGCCCAAAGTGAGCTAGTTAGGCCCCTGTCCTCCGTGAGAGAGTGCAGGGGGTGAGGGGTGGGTGGGTGCAGGAGATGGAACAGACATGCAAAGGATATTAGAATGGCTTAGGCCCTTTGAGCCATAGAGAAGAGGCAAAAACATCCATAGATGTGTTCTTGCTAGATTATCACAGCTTTAAAAATCAGGAAATGTCTCACAAAAACCTGGACTCTGGTTTCTTTTGAAAACGTAGAAGATCTGATAAGTCAGCCCACATTGCTGCTTGGTAGCTGTGTCTGGAGGACGGGCAGAGGTGGGCAGAGGCTCGGCTGTCCACCAACCCTCCCTCCGCTCTCTTCTTCCTTGTCATCGTCTGCCTGACCTGAAGGCATTTGGTCTGCGCCTTCTGCTCTGCGTGCTCAGATGAGCTGGATGCTATATGAGGAAATGTGTTGTAGGCAGTCTCTAAGATGGCTCTCAATATCCTGCCTGCTGCTATTTCATCCCCCTGGGGGTGCCCGAGACCTAGAGACTTGCTTCTAATAACACAGCAAAGGTGATAGGATGCCACTTCTCAGGTTAAGACGATTGTAATGGCCATCTTGTGTGTTCTCTCCCTCCCTCTCCCTCCCTCCCTCTCTCTGCAGCCTTGTGAGCAACCCTGAAGCAGAGGACCCATTGAAGCTGTACCCCAATGCCCGACCTAGAGAAACTAAGATAATATATGTTAAGCGATTACATTTTGGGGTAATTTTCTATGCAGCAGTAACTATCCAATCCATGTACAGTTCTCACAGCTGTTACAATTGTCTGAGACTATGGTCATTCCACACCTATACCGAGGATGGGCCAGGCACTATTCCAGGCATTTGGGACACATCAGTCAACACAACATAAAAATCCTTGTCCTCTAGGAACTCCTATTCTGATAGGGGTGGTTCACATAGAAGTCTGCTGGAAGTGCTGTTTTGAAGGAAAGACAAACTCCCTCAGCTTTGCGGAGAAGTTCTTAACTTCCTTTGGGTCTTAGACACTTGAAACCCCAACAAAAGCCATGGACTTTTTTTTTTTAGAAAAATGTACATGCACATGGAATTTTGCATCAATTTTAGGGATTTTCGTAAGAATTCTTGTGGCCTGCCCTGAGAGGAGTCTTGTGATGAGCATTGTTTTAGGTGCTGGGGCAAAGAGAAACAAGCAAAATAGAAGGTCTATGGAGGGAAGACATAGTAAAATCAGTGGCGTGTACAGTGTGCTACGAGCTACAAGAGATGTCCGGCAAGTTGTAAGGCTACATAAAGGAATTGCCCCCATATCTGGGGGCTCAGAGAAGACTGTCCCCCTGAAAGTCACTGAGGCTATGCTTTCAGTGATCTTAGAGAGAGAGAGGAGGCTACATAAAGGAATGTGCCCCCATATCTGGGGGCTCAGAGAAGGCTGTCCCCCTGAAAGTTACTGAGGCTATGCTTTCAGTGATCTTAGAGAGAGAGAGAGAGAGAGAGCGCGCGCGAGAGAGAGAGGGGAAAGGAGAGGGGGAGAGAGAAACGTTGATGTGGAGAGAAACATTGATCGGCTGCCATACATGCCCCAACTGGGAATCAAACCTGCAACCCTTGGTGCAGGGAATGTTGCTCCAACCAACTGAGCTATACAGGCCAGGGCATGAGTGAGATTTGAAGGGTGGGTAGGAATTTGTCAATTAGGGGGCACAGTGGATGGTGGGATCTGTTACTTGTGGGAGGATAGCGGTAAGGCAGGTAGGTACAGGTCCCTGCCCCCTGGGTATACAGTTTATCATGGAAACAGACATCTGATGATGAGTTTCATCAAAGGGAAATTGGGATGTTACATAGGTCACACAGCAAAGGGATATATTGTTAGAGTCAGGCCAGGAGCTTTCCCTAAGGAAGTCACCAATAAGTCAAAATCAGATTGATTAGATAGGCCAGGGCACGGGAATGTTCCATGCCCAGGAGGAACTTCAGGTGGGAGAGAACATGGGGTATTAATGGGCAAGAAGGGGTCACTAAGGCAAAAGCATAGAGAGGAGGGAGGCCAGAGGGAGGCTGGGGCAGTAGGTGAACCGGGACATACTGGTAAGCGTTGTTGGGCGTTTGTACATTTCCTCAACCATCATGGGAAGCTTTCAAGGGGAGTGGCCTCAACGCTGGGTTTCCAGTAGATCATTCTGACTAGATGGTGGGATTATGAGCACTCTTTCAAAGTGTAAAATTCAGTAGAGTTTAGTATATTCACAAAGTTGTACAACCATCACCACCATCCAATTGCACAACATTCTCATTGCCCTTAGAAGAAACCCCACACCTATTAGCAATCACTTCCCATTTTCCCAGTTCCTGCCAACCACTAATCTATTTCTGGCTCAATATACCTGCCTATTCTGGGCATTTCATGTGGTACAATCATACAATATATGGTTTTTTTGTGTCTGGCTTTTTTCACCAAGCATAATGTTTTCAAGGTTCGTCTTTCTTGTAATAAGTATCAGTACCTCACTCATTTTTATGGCCAGCTGATATTGTGTATTAGCATGCACACATTTTTTATCCATCAGTTGATGTATGATTGGGTTGTTTGCACTTTTAGGCTATTATGAATTACACGGCTATGAGGATTTGGGTCTAAGTTTTTGTGTTGATGTACGTTCACCATTCTCTGATATATACCTAGGAGTGGAATTGCTGGGTCAGAACAGTAGCTCTATGTTTAACTATCTGAGGAACTACCAAACTTTTCCAAAGCAGTGTGGCTATTCTATTTACATTCCGCATGCAAAGATATATAATAACTATTTGTTAGGCTGAATAGATAATTTCTTACATAGTAAACTGGCTACTACTTGAGATAATGTAAGAAATATATGTGTGGTCATTCAGGTGACCAAATATATTCCTCATATATTTTGGTCTTCATCCACAGTTTCTGGCTCACAGCTCCCCGAACCACTGGAATGTCCTAAGTGTTCAGAATGACACAGGTGTCTCCTGTTATGTGAATGCGGTGAATTTCAGAAGCACCAAAGTATGGGGCTGGTTGCCAGGAGAACCAATCAAGTGATTAGAGGGTTGGCATTTTCAGTCCCACCCTCCTTCCTTCTCTGGCCTCTGACTCCAGGGGAGCCAGTTGGTCAGAAGCACAGAGGGCCTGGAGGTTGAATCAATGGTCCATGCCCAGTGATTTAATCATTTCTATGTAATGAGGCCTCCATAACAACCCAAGAAGATGGGGTTCAGGAGCTTCTGGGTGGTGAAGAGGTGAAGACTTGGGGAAAGAAGTGGGTCTGGAAAGGGCAGGCCCTTTCTCGTGTATCTTACTCTATGCATCTCTTCCATCTGGCTGTTCCTGAGTTGTAATCCTTTTACAATAAACTAGTGATCTAGTAAGTAACACACTTCTCTAAATTCTGAGAACCATTCCAGCAAATTAATTGAACCCAAGGAGGGGGATGTGGGAACCTCTGATTCCTAGCCAGTCAGGCAGAAGCACAGGCAACAGCATGGACTTGCGATTGGCATTCTGAGTTGCAGGGGGTCGTTGGAACCGCCAATCTGTAGCCAGTTGGTCAGAAGCACAGAGAGCCGGGCTTAGGCTGGCTTCTGAAGTGTGTGTGTTTGGACTGCGGGCAGTCTTGTAAGACTAAACCATTAACTTGTGGAACCTGATGTTATCTCTGGGTAGATAATGTCAGAATTGAGTTGAATTATTGGACACTCTGCTGGCTTCTGAGAATTGTTTGTTGGTGTGGGGACCCCCTCCAACAGTAGAATTAGGTTCAGGAACCCAATTTACTATTATTTTTGGCACTTAATAGGCTTGAAGAGTGGGTCTCTGGAAGCAAGTGCCTTGAGCCAAGTTGCTGGACTAGTCAGCTGCAGAGCCAGGATCAGGACCCTGCCTGGTCACTCCTGAGCCAGCCCTCCTGTCCACTCATCTGTGAAGCAGCTTTGAGCCAGAGCCACAGGAGATCCAATGTGATAACACTGCTCTACTGGAAGTATGGGGAGTGCCAGGGGATCAGAGTCTCCCTCCTTCCCAATGTATCCTCCTCCATTCATTTAACACACAAACCTGACCGTATTATCCCCTTCCTTAAAAACAAAGACAAAAGAAAACATAGCCCTAGCTGGCTTGGCTCAGTGGGTAGAGCTTCAGCCTGTGGACTGAAGGGTCCCAGGTTTGATTCCAGCCAAGGGCACATACCTGGGTTGCAGGCTCGATCCCCAGTAGGGGGCGTGCAGGAGGCAGCCGATCAATGATTTTCTCTCATCATTGATGTTTCTATCTCTCTCTCCTTCCTTCCTCTCTGAAATCAATAAAGAAATATATTTAAAAAAAAGAAAGAAAAGAAAACAGAATCCAAGATTTGCCGGTCACCTATCTCACAACATTGGAAGTCCTTGGCCTGGCAGATGTCATTCTAAACTGACCTCAGCCTGCCTTTTCAGCTCCGTTTCCCACCACTCCGTTTTATTTATTCAACCAATGTTTACCATGGGCTCGTGATGTGCAAGGTCCCCTGATAGGTTTACAAACCACCTACAATGGGGTTCCATAATCCAAGATTTGCCGGTTACCTATCTCACAACATTGGAAGTCCTTGGCCTGGCAGATGTCATTCTAAACTGACCTCAGCCTGCCTTTTCAGCTCCGTTTCCCACCACTCTGTTTTATTTATTCAACCAATGTTTACCATGGGCTCGTGATGTGCAAGGTCCCCTGATAGGTTTACAAACCACCTACAATGGGGTTCCTGCCCTCAAGAGATTTATCCAAGAGATATCTCACCGGGAGGGAGGCAGGCAAGTGAACTGATGGTTCTAGCTCAGTGTGAGGGCTTCAGTAGAGATTAGAATAGTATTGAGGGGGAGTATGTGGGAACGGGCCCCTAAGCCAGTCTAAGAGATCAAACAGATTCCAGAAAGAGGTGAGTTGTAAAAGATGAGAACCTTAGAAATTAAGAAAGGACTCTGTCATCCCCACAAGGAACAGGTGCAAAGGCATGGAGTGTGAAACCAGATGGCTTCACACTTCATTCTGCAGGTGTTTACCTAGTGCTTCTTAGATGCCAAGTGCTGTTATAGATGCTGGAGATACAGCAGTGAACACAACAGACCAGGCCCTTGCCCTCAGGGAGCTGCCAGGGGGAAACATTGAAATGTGGGTTGGGGAAGGCCAACCATTGGCCCTGCCTTGGGGCAGGGGGTGGGGAGGGTGGTGGTGGTCCAAAGACCCTTGGAGCATGGGGAGTGTCCACAATAACCCTGAAATTTGAATGGAAATGTGTGTGTGTGCTCAGGTTCACACATACATTTTCCCAGGGAGTGGACACATAGTATTTTATTGTGTTCTCAAAGGGATCCATGACTGTCTTGGGTTAGAGCCCTTATTCTAGGGCCTCCTGTGCTAAGCGAAGGAGCTTGACCTTGATCTGGAAGTTCTGGGAGCAGTAGTGAATTTTAAGAAGTGAAAACATGAGAGCCTGACCCTGCGCTCTTGTCAGAGAGAACTGGTGCCTTTTCTGCTGTGAGGCCTTTGCTCTTGCGGTTCTCCCGACCTGGAGGAGTGAGAAGGACCACGTAAAAGCCAGACCGGTCTGAGTTTGCATCCTGCCTGCACCCACGGTGTCCCACCTGCCAGCCGCCAGTCTCCATCTGTGAGAAGTTGTGAGGTGTAAAATTAGAACATGATCTTTTAAGGACTTAATGACAATTTTTGTTTGGGAAGTGCCCAGGGTATAGTAGCCACTCAGCAAATCTTAGTTCCTCTCTTGGCTTGGTGGCTCAGCTGTTCAGAGATGCCCTCTTGTCTGACTTCTCGGAACTTCCTGGACAGTTGCTCACATGCCCACAGAACTTTGTGACTACCACCAATATTACTTTCAACACACTGTGTAACTATCGATTTGCCTTTGCCATTTCATCAATCCACACCCCAGCCCAAGTAGTGACACCTTCCCTTTGACAGATGAGGAAACAGGCCCAGAAAGTTGAGAAATTTACTAGTGATCAATCAGTTAATAAGTATCTGGAAGCATCCCATCATCAGGCCTTCTGAAAAAAATTATAGTGACAGCAATGAAAATTTATTATGCCTACTAGGTACCAAGCACTGTGCGGAGTGAGCTTTCTACCATACGGGTAACCCCCAATTCCACCTGCCATTTCCCCAAAGATAGGCAGGTACTACTATGTCATAATTCAAACTTACAGAGAAGGAAACTGAGGCTCAGAGAGGTAAAGCAAGTTGCCCAAGGTAACCCAGGCCAATTTCCAAACGCAGACCTCCATCTAACTCCAAAGGAACCTGTGTCATTCTGTCTCTTGAAAAACATTACTCCCAACTGCACAGTTAAAAACCCCACCCA